TGACACTGCCAAGTATGTACTGCTACCCAGAAAGATGGGGCTAAGTGGGGAACGACCACTCGAGACCATGAGCTAAAGGTCGGGGTGGGTAACAACGTGACCATAGGCTGGTGAGAAGGCTCAGCAGATACAGGCACCTGCCTCCAAGCCCCAGGCCATGAGTTGGATCCCCAGGATCCACATGGTAGAAAGAGAAAACTCCTGAACGTTGTCCCTCAACCTCCACACACATGCTGTGCACACGCCCATTCCCAACAAGTAAATAAAATGTAATAAGTTTTTTTAAAAAAGTGAAATGTCTAATGGTGAGAAGAAGAAAGAGTCGGAGGAAAGGAAGAATGAATGTGGCCACCGAATTATTTCCTTGATGTTCAATTAGCATGTAAATCATTATAAAAAATTCCAAGATGCTTTGCCTGGTGTCACCATCATTATTGAGGCCCAAGGCCAGAGGACAAGTAAGTAACAGAGGACCAAAGCTAACAGGACCCTCTCTGCCATATTAAGCATGGTGGATGCTGGCCATATATTCACTGACTTCATTTCCCTTTCCTTTCAGGTCCCCAGCTGGGCTCCATGTTTTAGCATGCTTGCAGTTTGGTAGGGTCCATGTGATTTAGGTCTTGGTCTCCAGGGCTCACCACGAAGTCATCTGTTGGTTTCACATTGCTCAGAGATTACTGGAGCCTTGAACTGAATATGGAGATTCACAAGACAGAAAGATGGTGGGCCTATGAAGACCGAATGGAGCACATATTCTCTAGCCTGCCTGACACATTGCATTTGAATGACACCAAATGACTCAGTGGCTTTGTATTGAGTTAAATCACCAGTATTTAGAGGTTTATTTATCACAAGAGTGAGAGTTTCCAACTAACGTGTTCAGGAATTACTTCTCTGTGGTTTAAGTAACACCCCTGATAAAACAGTTACTTTTAATCACTCCCTGAGAGAGCTGCTTCCTTGTCAAGTTCTGGTTTCACTTATGTTGCTGTGATAAAACACCTTGATCAAAAGCAACCTGAGGGAGAAAAGGGTTTATACCAGTGTAAAGTTCCAGGCTACATCCATCACTGGGGGGACATGGAGGCAGAAGCACAAAGATCCTAGTCACATAACAGTTAACAGCATAAAGAATAGCTGCACATTTGCTTGCTTGGTCTCTTGCTGGCTGTCTTTATTTTTCCCACTTCAAGTCCTAGCCTGGAGAACCGTGCTTCCCACAGTGGTCTGGGTCTTCCTCCATCAATTAACTGTCAAGACAGTCCCCCAGAGACACACCCATAGGCCCACCTGATCCAGTTAATTCCTCAGTGGAAGCTCTTTCAAGGTGGTTGTGGGCTGTGTCCCGTGAACAGTTAGAACTCACCAGCACAGTTGGGTATCCATGAAAGAGTGGAGAGACACTGAGCACACAGGGAAGGGTACCCTGACTGAGGTGAGGCACTTTAATGACACATTGGCTCAACTGATTTGAGACGATTCTATATGAGTGGTAGAGAGTGAGGAGGACCAAGGAAGCCGAGCACACAGCACAGATGTCCCTCTGAAAGAGGTAGAATGTGTTTTCTAAATCACAAATATTTTAAACAGACATACAAATGGCCAATTAGCAATGAGAAGGGGCTTATATAGTGTCCTTAGTCAGTAAGAATGCAAACCAAAGTCTCCATGAAATAGCCCTTCCAAACACTAGGCTGGATAGAAAACCAAAACCCACAAGTAACAGGCCCTGGCCAGGCTGTGGGGAAATTGGAGCTCTTCCATCACTGGTCCTCTTGTAGACTGACATCACCACTATGGATAAGAGATAAACAATTCCCAAAGGACACAGCTGTTTCACTCGTGTGTGTGTGTGTGTGTGTGTGTGTGTGTGTGTGTGTGTGTGTGATAAGGGTTTCTGAATGTGCACCAAAAACATTAATTTGAAATCAAATGGGCGATGAATCCAGCCCTCAGATCCATTGCATCGCACAGCACTGCGGCCTTGGTTCTGAATACAAGATGTGGGCTCTTACTCCTGCACATGCCATCAAGCCACAAAACATGATTTGAGACAATTCCATGTTGTGAACTGTGTGTTTGTACTAGGTGTACAAAGTAAGCTCTCTTATAGAAATGCCATGGTTTAATAACAGAAACAAGAACTTTTAGTATTTTTTCATGATCATCACTTAAATATTGAGTTAGCATTTTTTTATTGTATTGTAGTAGAATGTTTGTGGGTTTTTTTGTTTGGTTGGTTTGGTTTTTTGAGACAGGGTTTCTCTATGTAGCTTTGGAGCCTGTCCTGGAACTTGCTTTGTGACCAAGGTGACCTCAAACTCAGAGATCTGCCTGCATTTGCCTCCTAGGTGCTAGAATTAAAGGTGTGTACCACCACCACCCAGCTAGAATGTTTGATTTTTTTAAAATTGATGTTTGAGTTTCTGACTTGGGTTTTATTTAAAACAACAACAAAAACAATAAAACCCATGACGCTGAAGAGATGACTCTGTGGTTCAGAGCACTTGCTACTGTTACAGAGGACCCAGGTTCAGTTCCCAGCACCTACATGGCAGCTCACAACCATCTGTAACTCCAGGGCCAGAGGATCCAACACTCTCTTAACTGCCACAGGTGCCAGGCATGCACATGATACACATACAGGCAAAACACCCATACACATAAAGTAAATACATTTGAAAAATGTTTTAAATCATAAAAAGGATTTGGGTTTGGGATTAGGCCAGAAATTTCTGAAGTCTCCCCATGCTTCTACCGTTTTGTGCTATATTTACATGAAGCTGCTTTCTCTAAACTGACAATTATAAAAAGCAAAATGCCATTCAATTCTGATGTTCCATGTCCTGCAGTATCAAATATCCAGGCCAGATTTAATCCTTTATGTAAAAATAAACAAGCACATCCATCTCTGTGGCATGCAAATTTGCTTCCATCATTAATAAATGATAACAACATATGTATAACAAAGAAGTTATTTAAACAACTTTATTGGGACCTGGAGAGACTGTTCAGAGGCTAAGAGTACTCAATTCTCTTCCAAATGACCCGAGTTAGGCTCCGAATTCCTGCATCAGGTGGCTCACAAAGCCCTATGTCTCCAGCTCTAACATATTTGATGCACTCTTCAAGCCTCTGAGGGCAAACCCACACTCCCACACTAACACAAAAAAATATAATCTTTTTAAAAAGTAGAATAAAACAAGTTCACTTATGATTAGTTATCTTCAGTAAATGGTTGCTTTGTATATCTGTTTCACAGACCTATACCTGGGGACAAGTAAACTTTTGGGGGTTAGAAAGCAATCACTATCGGAAACAGTTTACGAAGTCCTGGGGAGCTGGGCGTTGGTGGTGCTCGCCTTTAATCTTAGCACTCGGGAGACAGAGGTAGGTGAATCTCTGTGAGTTCGAAGCCAGCATGGTCTCCAGAGCAAGTTCCAGGATAGGCTCCAAAAATACAGAGAAACCCTGTCTAGGGGGAAAAAAAAAGACACGTGTACAAAGCCCTGGGGAAGGGGATAGCTAGAGGATCAAGAGTTCAAAATCATGCCTGGGCTTGAAACATCTTCTCCCAAAATCAGAGAGGCCATTTACTAAGGACAAATGTCATACAGTTCCAATCTGAAGAAGAAGTAAATTCAAAAACCAGATCCTGGAACAAGGAGCAACTGGAGAGTGACTTATCACTTATCGACCGACATGCTGTGTCCCTTCACTCGATTCACTTTGCGATAAGTGACTTTTACCTGGATTTTAAGAACTACTGCTGCGTGGTTTTCCTAGAACTGTCTACCCAGTGTACATCTGGGCCTTAGCAGGTTCTCCTGGGAACAATGACAATAGGACAATACGGCGGAGACATGACCGTTTTCCTCTTCCTTTCTAGAACCTTGGAACTCCGGCCTCAGTTCTTAGATACCTGTCACCAGGAACCTGAAGGAGTGGGATGGAAGGAATAGTGGATTTGGACACTGAAGTGACAGTGTCTCTGCCCCATCCCCTTTTCTGGAGCCCAGGCTCTCGGTGTGCATGACCTGCCTGGCTGGTGCTCACTGATACCTGCAATCTTCTGTGGTGTATCTTCTCATGGCCCATCTCCATCCTCCTCTTCCCAGCAGACAGATCAAGGATTCACTTCCCATGTACAGCCTCCTCCAACTCACCTCTGCCAACCTCCACAGGCCAAACCAGGCCTCCTCGGTAAGAGTTCTTCCCAGGTTCTTGATGGTAAAGAAATCAGGATAGAGGGTGAGGGCCATACAGCTCTGGAAGGCAGAACAGGAGAGGGGAAACACACTGACACTCACATGCCCCAGTCCTTAGGACTCTGAAGGTCTAGGTTTGACTTTGCCTCGCTTTCAGGCAAGGTCTCAGCTGCACTCCAGACCGCCTCTTGCCCCCATTTCTCTGTGCGTCAATTAGCTTTCCTTCCCCCCATCACACTCAGAGGTTCTCCACAGCTTCTCTCCTGCCTGAGCCACGCAGATGTAAAGCCTCAGTCTCCGGACACCATGTCTTAGCAACCACAATGATCTGATCTCAAACTAAAAAGAACGGCTCCTCCAGCCTGCCGAGAAAGAAATGAAGAAGTGTCTGGATTAGGGCCCAGCTTCACAAAGCAGTGAGACTGGGAGCGAGCGGACCTCTGTTACAGGGTTCTGTCTTGAGCCTTCCCCAGGGGCAAGAGGCATTGCACAGGTGCAACTGCTTGGTGTGACTGACAGCTGTCTCTTCCTGACCAGAAAGCAGAGTCCTGGTGTGGCCTCTTTGAAAAGTCAAAGCCTTTGATGCTGTCGAGTTTGAAGACAAAGGCGGTAGGGTACACACACACACACACACACACACACACACACACACACACACACCATGACTCTGCCCCTCCCTGGTGGCCCCGCCCTTTTACTTCATCAGCACCTCCCCTCCCTTCCTTGGCTCCTAACCCACCCTTCGGCTGACGGAGCCCCAAGGGAGCAGGTGTCCCCACAACCGCCAAGATGCAGCCATGGCTCTGGCTAGTCTTCGGTGTGAAGCTGGCAGGTAAGACACAGAGTGGTCTAGCACAGGTCTGCTCTAGAGCAGGGAACTTAGACCTGGCAGTCTCCACAGCAGGAGGAAGAGACAGGAGCTGTGCTGTGGGGACAGGGCAGGCTGGTAGGCACAGGCCTTGATCATGGGAAGAGGATTCCTCCAGGAGCTCATTTCCCAGAACCGTCTGAGAAACCTAGGGCAGAAGCCACCTGTCCCACAGCCTGAACTTGAAGGGGAAAGAGGAAAGGAGGAAGAAATAAAAGAGGAGAGATAAATGCAAAAGTGAAGGGGAAACGTAGTTATTCAGGACGTACAGGGTTGTGCCCCATGCAGTTCCCAGAGGCCTAGTCTGGCCTAGGTCAGGGTCTATAGACGCACTCTTATTATTTCCGGGGAAGTGCTTCTAGTAAATTGGACAAACACTGCTGTAGCTGGCTCATGGATAGCTATGGCAGAGTGCTCACCATGACCCCCTCACTGTCCAGTGTCCTCTGGAGTCAGGGTCCTGTGTAGCATGGCTCCCCGAAGAAGTGTCACTAGACACTGCAGATGGGATATTAGGGCTAGCACAGACGTGTGGCCTAAAGTCTGTCATTGTGATCAGACACCTCAAATCTCCGCTGGTCTGGCACCACCTAAAGCTCAAAACTGATTACACAGTTGAGAGAGATGAGGCATGCCAGCTCCTGCCTCTGATTAGGTTAGCTCCACTACCTCACAAATGGAAACATGGCAAGACTATTCCAAGCCACTAAAGCTACTGCTGATCATTCTAGAAATGCCAGGTCCCTCTGAAAATGGAATCCTGGGCAACCAAACAGATCAAAGGAGATCATGTGTGACTTGAAGCCTGGCTGTGCAGGCTCTTTGGAAGGACTCCTGCCATCTGTATATTTTTGGCCCCATTTTGTGTGTAGGTTTCCTCAGTTCGGTGGCTCTGAGCTCATTCACCCAAGTCCTATGGCCTGGTTTGAGTGTGAGTGTGAGTCCACTGGGTACAGGCTGTGTGACTCTGAGCATACCTTTCTCTTGAGCTCTGTTTGCTCTCATGTAAAAGGAGTCTGAATGAATATTCCAAAGGAATATTCATTTTCTCCACAAGTGGAAGCTCAGAGTGCTCTGAGGGTGGACTCTGGGTTTACCTCATCACATCAGTCCTCTCGAAGGCTGTGATGGGGCCGTAAGGCCTGAGCCACAATTATAGGCAGTGATCACTCCATTAACTCAGGCAGCTGGTTCTCCCGGGCTCACACACCCTCCGGCATCTGCTCAGCCAGGCCTGTCCTCTGTGTTATTTATATCTTGGCCATGGCCCTCTGCTCCAAGCCAAAGAAAAAGACTTTCTGGATCAAACTGGGTTTGTGGGAACGAGCCGGCGTTGTCTTGGATATGAAAGAAACTTAGTGTGAGCCTCCTTGAGACCTCACTTGGTGCCTAGAACATGCCCCGAGAGCGTAGCCCTGCCAGCAGAACCTACCGTGTGCTGTACACGGGCACCTCCACTGTCAGGGCTTCACCTGATCTCACTTCTCTTTCCCCCCTGAAATTCACTGTGTAGCTCAGGCTGGCCTCACACTCAGGCAATCCCCCTGCCTCAACTTCTCAAGTGTTAGGATTCTAAGTGCGCACAACCATGCCTGCCCTTCCTATCTTTTCTTTCTAACCCTCAGTAGCAAGCAGAACAATGGCGGCAAGCCCAGCTGTCCTTTCACAGGAGACCCCATGCTTGGTGACTTCGGAGGTCCCACAGCTGCTACAGGGCAAAGGCTGTGTGCACCACCATGTCTGCAACTCCTTCTGCCTGCCCAGTCTTCTCATCTAAGACAAATGAACTCTCAACTTTGCCTCTGTAATGACTGCCCTGCCCTGAGAGACGAGAAATCAGTGACAGGTCCCTTGCAGGGCTGGGAAGTAACGACCTACCAGGGTCAGCTCCTTTAACTGGGTCTGGAAATCTCACCTTGTCCAAACCAGCCTTGCACTGGGCCTATGACTCCAAATTCCTCTCCCAGCTTGCCCAGGTCTCTTCCAGTGGCTTAGAGCTACCAAAGGCCCAGCTATTCTGAGCCACAGCCAAGGGGGGAAGGCAACCAGCTTTGACTTTTGACATTGGTTCTCTGGATTTTAATTCAGTGAGACACCGAGCAAGTTAACTTCATGCTTCTGTTTTCTCATCTGGGGAAGGGGGATAAACATCCTGGAGCCAGTTTGAGACTTGGTTAAGATGGCTTATGCCAAGGGCCACAGGTAGAAGTAGATGGTCAGCCAGTGCCTCAGTAAAGACAAGCACAGTGGACACCAGCTTTGCAGTCAATGTTTGTGAGTTCAAAGACACTGAGTGCTGATAAGACCCTGGCTCTTTCTCCAGGCAGACTCTTCCATCAGTTTGCCTCCAATACAAACTCACTGTGATTCCGAGGCCTCACCACTGTGCATAGAAACATGTACTAATGGTTTCTGCTCCTTCTAGTTTCTAGGGTTGGAACTCCTCACTGCTGAGCTATCTCACAAGCCTTCCCCCTACTCTTTTTTTTTTTTAAGACAAGTTCTTATGTAGCCCAGGCTAGCCTTGAACTCACTATGTAACCAGATTTGAAGTTCTGACCCTCCTGCTGCAACCTATAGAGTGCTGAGATTACACGTGTTTAGCAGCAGCCTGGTTTCTTTCTTCTGTTTTTTTGTAGCTCTCTGGAGCAGCTCTGCCCTCCTTCAGACCCCTAGGTCCTTGACAGTTCTAACTAATCAAGTGGCAAAAGTGTCCTGCGAAGCTAAAACCCTCCCTAAGACCACACTCATCTACTGGCTGAGACAGCGCCGGGGACCCACCAAGGACAAGCACTTTGAGTTCCTGGCCTCCTGGAATCCTTCCAAAGGAGTTGCTACACCCGGTGAAGGGGTGAAGAAGGAGAGTATAAATGTGTTTTCGGATATAACCCGGTACATCCTCAATCTCACGAGTGTGAAGCTGGAAGACAGTGGCACCTACTTCTGTATGATGGTCGGGAGCCCTCAGCTGATCTTTGGGTCAGGGACGGAGCTGAGTGTGGGTAAGCATGGCTTTAAGGTTATGGAGCATACACGTGCAAACACACACACACACACACACAAACACACACACACACACACACACACACACACACACACAAACACACACACACACACACACAAACACACACACACACACACACAAACACACACACACACACACA